CTCAAGATCAGATGGCCGGAAAGAATCACCAACAAGAAACTGTGGGAACAAACAAAGCAAGAACCAATCGCCCAACAAATATGCAAGAGAAAGTGGAGATGGATTGGACACTCGCTGAGGAGGCCGGTGGGTGACATCACGCGTCAGGCCAACGCTCGAGTGGAACCCGAAAGGGAAGCGGCGAGTGGGACGTCCAAGGGTAACATGGAGGAGATCGTGTGAAGAGGAGCTGAAACAGTATGGACTAACATGGATGGAGGTCAGAAGTACAGCAGAAGACAGAAACAAGTGGAGACGTGCAGTTGAAGCCCTATGTTCCATTTGGAACCCAAGGGAACAATAATTAATAATAATAGTAACAACTCAACAAGATTTAAAATATCTGTCGACAATGCTTCAGCCAACTATCATCACAGTCATCATCAGATCTACAACAGCGACAATTCCATATTCACTAAAACACAATGCGTACAATTAAGAGTCCCAAACTAAGACGAAACAGCTGTCCAGTACTCCCAGGTTCTCCAGTGGTTCTCTAACTGATGTCAGCTCATGATGAAATCCTCCATGCAATCAAACAAAATCCCTACAAAACCAATACTTGAAAATACAATATAGTTAATGAAACTCGAAGTGCTGGTTACGATAGATCGAGGAAGGCGATCTGCAAACTTCATGTCGTTATCAATCAACAATTCCACTGGGGAATATAGCCCAAATAATGTATGTGTCAATAACATTCACTTATCTATGTTTATGGAATCACAAAATATACTCATAGAACATCCTGAGCGATAATACTGTCTGGCATTTAACAAATGCGTCTCACGTTGTTTGTCTCACATGTAATTCCTTCCCATAGGATAAAATAACTTCACAGTTTAGTAAGCGTAGACTTCAACAATGTGTCATATCATTTTATGCACAACTATGCAGGATACCACTTTCATTGTGCAATGACATCTTCAGAATAATAAGGTATACGGGATCAACAAGATTAGTCGACGTTCACCATCGCAGTGATCCTACTTATTTGGACACAACACCTAGAACAATCACTAGCTAGTCTTAAAGCGATTATCGACTATTTATTCCAGTCTGTATACTTGTATACACCTCGTAGGAAAATGATGATTGTACACAGTTAACAAATGTAATCAGGAGACCAAATGAATCGATCCTCACTGAATAGCTCTACGAATAAAAAGACTAAACAAGTAGCTTACCTTAGTTTATCTCAGGCCTGATTCATATCACTTGGGGAAATATTTTAAAAGCCATGCAGTTCACTGGAAACGTCTTCCTTCCTTTACTCTATGTGCTTAGTTTGCGCTAACAGACTTCTCACTCTCTCCACTGCTTGTTTATGCGATACTGATTTGTCATGTTAAGAATGACTACCTTACTAGGGAAAACTAAAACTCCAGATACTCGTCCGAACCAAGCTAACAAGTATACTGTCAAAGGTTCGAGGGTGCGTATGTCCAACCGAAATTGTATCTCACAGAAAAGTCTCTCATGCACAATAAGTATATTTCGATGGCTATAACTACCGCATAGTGTAAAAGACGTCGTTTCAAAATGAAAGAACACATTCAACTTTTTCGAACCAACTACTTCAGAGAAAGTTATCATAGAAACACTCCAAAATAGGGTATGTACATCACTAACTAACCTTGTATTTGTATGAAGACGATAGTCAAAAGATTCGCTGATGCTATTCGCCAGTTCAGGAGTGTTAAGTCGCCAGATCTTTATATAATGATCCATCCCTGCAGACAACAGGAGGTTACCGGATAGGGATACATCACCATGCAGCACTTCAGCCCGATGGCCTTCTGATCCTCCAAAGACACAAATTAACACATTAGTGGCAACATTCCACAGACGAATAGTGTAATCTATACAAAACAAACGAAAGAAATCCATAACAGCAATACTAGTAATAGTAATAATAATGACAACGACAATGGTAATGACTTATTGCGAATCAAACAAAAGAAGGATAGTTTAAGAAGAAACGGTGAATTCTGGAAAGGGATCCGTGGATATTCGACCAGAAACACACTAACCGATTAACTTCACAAGAAATGAAGATCAATCTGTAATTGTGAAATAACTGACAATACATCTACATTTGTTATACTGTACGAGGGAAGCCTGTGAAAGTCTAAACAATATTGAAACATACGTACAAATTGGTTCTTCCAGATGCACTATGAAAATAAAAGACAAAGAGGGAGAGGGACAATGTAAGAACTGGCATAAATGCATGTTAGAGCAAGTTGTTGTATGCCATCTTATCAGAAGTGGAAGAAATGAAATTAGTAGGATGCCAAAGAAAACACAAATAATACCAGCAATTGTGACAACAGTCAAGGAATAGAAAGAAATAGTTACAAGAACTCGCATCACTTCACCTCCAGGATTTACAGAAGAACGGGACAGTGATGTGCACAAACTATTGTGATCGATTCTGCTTCGTTTCTTTTAAATTACAAAACAATGACACCCTTACACTCATTATCGTGTAAGAGCTTTGACTAACAATCACTGAATATGCGGGTCGGTGTGGTGTTTATTTCACTTCGAATAAAGATTGTGTGTACACCCCATCCAGCGAATGTTTTGGAGACAGTTTTATTTATGTCCACAAATTTATCAACTTCAGCAGTGCAGAGAAACCAAAAGGTCTCAAAAATGTTCACTTCACTGAAAGGTTTCGTGCAAATCAATTTCTCTCGATATCTTGTGTTGCCAGTTTACAACTTCTTGGACCTAGATCAACCGCTCTTATTTTAGAAAAATCTTCACATGAGTGGTTCAGTGTGAATTGCTTGTTCTATCCCAGTCCAGACACGCACACACAAACTCAGAATATCCCTCATAGGTAAGGGAACAAACTTGACAACCAGTTTTGTCACCGAATTCACTATTCACGAAGCATGCAAATGTATAAGCAAGTCCCGTGCACAGAAATAGACACACCATAGTATTCAGTGTGCCTAAATCTTTCCCAATAGTCCACAAAGTGACTTCAGACACTGACTAATATTTATGGTCGTCGGAAGATGTGACATGTTGGACTGGGGATAATCTACAACAGTATGTACAAATGGTAGTGCTTCAATTGAGAAGTCTAGGATGAATGTCTTTCTCAGCTTTACATCAGACTTTTCCAGCTCATGTGTCAACTCGCCACTAATCTGTTGTCAGAGGATCAGTGGTGCAACTTTTAAACTCAATCATCACAGATCGAAATACCACGTGCTGTCTGCTTATGAATATATTTCTACCCGCGAAACTACCCAGTTCCGTTGGCAAAAGGGAAAGTATGTGTAAAACTGACTGTCCAGAGCTATAAGGATGCTTACACGAACAAAAGCTGAAGTCTAATAAACTTTTCATTTTATGTAGACTGTTAGAAAATCGATCTCTCAGTCAGCTAGAATCCCTTCCTAAGAGTAAAACATCGTGGAAATGGAACACTGAGTTTGATTCTGCTTTTGCAGTGAATCTGATGACTGTGTGGGCATTACTGAAGGTTTTGAGCAGGTTGTCGAGATTTTGATTCGCATCACCAATACTGGAAGTATCGTCAATGCATCTCTCATAGACATGCTGGACGTGTCTGTAGTTCTGGCTGGATTCAACATAGAACCGAAGTGCAGCAGTTCGAGTTGCCACGTTCCAAATAGCACACAAAGGTAGGCAAGAAAATGAGTGAAGAGAATCAATAGAGTTTTGACAAGTATAAGAGTGAAACAGAATGAGTAATGGTAGAAAGGAATATGAAAGATTACAGAGACTGAATACATCTGCGCCATTGACAACGATTTTGAGCCATGTCACCTATTGTCTCCAGCCACTGATTCTTAGAGTCCCGGGGGCCCCAACCCGGAAGTCTTAATCTCCCTACCTGACTCAGTTTAACTGTCAGGGATTTCATGGATTGATGAGGCCATGTTTTTGTTTGGCCACCACTTACTCTTTTCCAACCTGCACCTAGATCAGCTAGTAATGCCCGTCGGGGGAGGCGATGGCTAGGCATGTGAAGCTAGCCTAGCTATCTCAATCTATGTAACTTTATAGCCTCTTCGATTGATTTTCCCTCTTTGCCCAACACTACGCCTAACGTCAACATTACTTACTTTATTATACCACCTAACGCGAGAAAGAGATCTGTAGTTTGATAACAGGACATCCCGCGAACTGACGATATTCAGCTCAATTCGAAAAATCCTCCGAAGCCTCATGCAAAATTCAATCAAACATTGTAAGACATCTGGACTGGACACAGTTGAAGCATTAGCGATACGAATATTCAAGCCAAATCTGTTTAACCAAAAGAAGTACATTTCACTTTGTCTTTCACGTCGCCATCATAACCAGTGCATTTTCCAACAAAACTGTTTTACCAACTGTTCACTATCCGAAATTTCTGTTTATCCCTTTGGTTTGGTCCCCATTTGCATTGCATAACTTCATCTTGGTATTCGCTATGTCTTGACCTCTAGTTGCTAATATTCCTGGATATTTCGCACCTCCACTACATATATTCACAAAGTCGTGACTTATTGACCCAAACATTTGGCTTCCAGTCAATGAATCCTGGGTTCGAATCCCTTTCCGTATACTCCAACCCTACGCAATGCGTGTGGTTCATAGCTCTCCTCCCACCCACCCCACCATCACCGTCAAGTGAGTTGCAAATAACTAAACTATTTACGAATGTGTAGTCTGGTTAATGACTTCGTCGGAAAAGAAATCTTGCTTTGCTGCAACCGCCTTTTGGTTTTTCTAACGATCAAATGCCAGACGCTAAGATAATCGCAAACGTTATCAACAAATAAATAGTGTGATAACTGAAGGTAAGCACTCTTAATGGAGGAGACAGTACAGTGTATCCTAACCTCATCCTTTCAGAAAATCACAGTCCTTCATATTCTCCTCTGATCTAAGCCAAATCCATAGATGTCATGATCTATTAAGAAACGCGATTACCTTGTGTACCCATATCATCATAGATCAATTTGCAGCATTGTACTTGATTAGTCTCCCCCCAAGACTGAGACATACTGCACACCTTCCATACATCGTAAAAGCATGAAGCAGATGAGAATATAGCAAGCAACTGCAGAATACATCCAGCACAGCCACAATGGCCTGATAAGCTTTTACAGTCAATACACATTAAACTCCTACCAGTCATTTATGGACTAGAACAACAAACTCTCATGAAGGAAGTGTACGTAGTGGACAATCAACGTCTCACCTGTCCACCACTAGCCATCAAATGGATATGTACTGCCATCAGTTTGGTTAAGTAGGATAGAAATGACAACAATACACGTAGTATAGATGCAGGGTGATACGAAATAGTGGAGACACATTACACATAAATTCACGAGAGCAATACGGCCAATCAGTCTCAAACTCTTTCATTATACATCCACTCAACAAGTGTGAGGGCTCCTACTTATGTATCACTACTGTTAAACAATATGTAGTAACTCAATTTACATTATTAGCGATTTAGTCCTTGCTACCGATCGAAGACAAGTACAACTTGGAAAATAAACCACTCAGGGATTACGAAACCAAATGCAAGTAAAACACAATTCCAAAATACAACAAACACTCCGCTTACCTTTACTGAAGGAAAACAATAGGGAGAGACGTTTCGGATGAAATTTCAGCTCGTTGATAGAGCCTCCATGGCCAACGAGACTACCAAGACAACTTAGCATACTGGGGCAAAGAATCCGGATAACGCCACGTTTCCCTGCCACAGCGATAATCTGCTGGTGCGGAGGGATAATTGACCCACTGTAAAAATCATTTACACCTTGATGAGGAGTCGGGCGAGGTCGATGACTCTCACTGCAACCTCCCCACGAGTTAAACACAGACCTCTCACTTGTATCACGTGACCAAGCACAGCAATAAAACTCTTCCTCATCACCAGCTGGATCAGCGAAAGTCAACAATGTACTGACAGGCTCCAGTGTCGAAGAATCCTCACTTGAAGCATCTTCAACGTCGTCCTTCAAGTGACACTGGTACACTGTAACCTATAAAATCAACAAATGGAAAATTACTGCAGTAAGTGGTAGCGGAGACAAACAAAGTCGTAGATTCGATAAGCGCCCATGGGTAAATAGGACTTACATAGTGACCAGAAACTGTAGCGAAATAAAGCGGATCAGATGGTTGACTCCGATTGTCCGAATTAAAGGCAACACCGTAAATAGGTCGACCATGCTCTTCACGAATACTACACGTTGGTTTATAGGGAGAATTCGGTTCCGGAGCATTTTCTACCACATTTGGGAGTTTTCCAAGTAGAATCTCTGGTGATAGGACTTCTTTGAAAAGCTCGCTCGACGTTTTCTGAGTCATACTTAATAACGTATGATGACGATGAGTGTTGCTAGCCGCATATCTTTCTCTTTTAGATGGCGACAGGAGACCGTTAGACTGAGTCATACCGCCAGTCTGCTCAACACAACTCGTGTGTATCAGAGTCTAAAATGGTAGAAATAGATAGGTATTAACAACTACCAGTATAATTTAAATATCACCATTACTATCAACTACTACCCAGTCAGTGAATTTTTTTTGGACCTGGGATATGTGGGTAAGAACGTGGGTAGTTTTCCGTTCGAAATTGGGCAAAGTGGGAAAACGTCGGCGGTTTTCGGTTGTAAAATGGGTAAAGTGGGAAAAAGTGGAACAATAAAATTTTTCGGGACATGTACAATGAGGGTTAAAGTGGCCAGTTTGGGTAAAGTGGGTTATTTAACTAGCATTTAAACCACCTTTTGCCTAAGTCTTTGCCGATCAAAATTACACGTTCAGCCCACATTGCCCATATGCATTCACCTTGGCAACATGCATCAACCCCAAAGAGTTGATCACTAACGAAATCTCAGCACAACAGTTAGTTTAAGCCACGTAGGGAGGTGCAGACTGGCTTCCTGTTTGGGGTCCTCGGGACTTTAAAACCAATGACAGCTGGAGACAATCGGTGATATGGCTCAAAGTCGTTCTCAATGGCGCAGATGCATCCACTCCTTGTGACTTATAATACCCAATGAAACTATATTGCTCTTCGTTATTACTATTCCTTTTGTCTCATATCCCTGTCTACTGTCTCTATTTTGCATTTCTTCTACTTTCTTCTCTTGCTTTGTGTACCATATGGAGTATGGCGACTTGAACTGATGCACACCTGTGAAAGTTCTATGTTGGAAAACCAGACAGACAGATATGTGCATTCTCTGACTGGATAGGATAACGGCGGAGGAATGCATAGCCCATATGTATATGATACGAGTGGATGGTTTCGTGTTAAATAAGCGCTGGATGCATACTGACCGAAATGGAGGGACATGTTTCATCTGCAAAATGCAGTTCTTACAATGCTGTCGTAACGAATGGCTGGCTGACGCAAAAATCAACCCAAAACTTTACACACCAGCCACTCTCCCTTTTTCTAAATAACGAATGTGCGGTATTCTTTACCGAGCCGGAAATGTAGGTTGGCCTTCAACAATGAATATGAGGGTGACTCTAAATTATAGCAGCACAAAACGAGTTCGCAGTCTAAATTGCCTAATGGACGGTCTGATGATTTTGAACGCCCAGTCAGATGATTCTGCAGTACATGGGAAGAACAGTGGTTGCTGTACACAACTTATGTACCAAATTTCATCCAAATCTAGTATGCATAAATACTATAGGTACTACTCAGGCTACAGGCTCACTGGAAGGGAAAAGATGTGTAGCCCACTGTTATCCGTGGAATATACTCATAGAGTGGCCAACAACAGACGATTTCGTTAATCCTTTCGATGAGACCCTCACAAAATTACATCGAAAATTTCTACAGTACTGTAGAAATTTTCGAGGTGACGTCACCTAAATAATAGGGTCAGAGTGGTAAACCAGTAAAGAAGCACGACGATACCCAAGTTTACTATAATGTTGAATTAAATCTCACTAATTCTGAAATAATTCTAACATTCTATAATGGGTAAATTCTGAATCTGTTCTGAAATGGATTCTTTAGTGGCACAGACTAGAACTCAGTGCTGGTTTTCAGCATGACTGGCACTAACTCAGCACCGTGTTTTTTTTCTAGGCATTTTCAGGAGTAGATCAGAACCTACTGGGTTCGCTTATCAGCGTTGTTTCAGCACTCAAAGGATATATTAGGCGCGGAATAGCGTTACTTCAGAACTAAAAGATTTAATTCAGCACCCAGTTTCCTTTTTAAGCACGACCAGCGTTATTTCAGAACATAGTGGGTAGATAAAGTCTTCGTTTACCATAAAAAGGCATTAACGAAGAATAAGTTAGAATAAGTTTAGAAGTGTTGTAAGCTTAGGTATGTAGTTATCTCGACGAATTTTCGCATCAAAATTGGTTTAACCTGACCATGAGGACTCCTGTGATAAATTGGGTGGTTTACTCGCAACATATACAAGGATGTTACTCTGTGCAACTCCTTCTCAACGCTGCTTCACTTACGGATAAACGTCTTTTTCAAATTACGCACATCCGCTTCGGACATGTCCGATTGGTCTATTGCTATCTGTCAAGGTCTTTATCAAGTAGTTGCGTTTCGGGCTGTTATAGTTTGGAGTCACCCACGTGACTATAGTGAGTACCAAGAAAACACTGTCTATTACCAAGTCATCAAGGCCACTTATAACAAAGGCGCGAATGTAGTGTTTTGGATGAAATGGGTTCGTATAAACAATGTATATTGCACTTTCCACCCCACCAAAATGCACCTGAGGTTGAGGTCGAACTGACTCAACTACTTAGTGACTAAATAAACATCGCCCTCCTCGGCAATGGGCAATGTTAGCTGAGACAGGGTCAGGCTGGAAAAGAGCAAGAGGCGGTCAAACCAAAACATGGCACCGGTGAATCAAATCCACAACATTTAGTTTAAGCCACGTAGGGAGGTGCAGACTGGCTTCCTGTTTGGGGTCCTCGGGACTTTAAAACCAATGACAGCTGGAGACAATCGGTGATATGGCTCAAAGTCGTTCTCAATGGCGCAGATGCATCCACTCCTTGTGACTTATAATACCCAATGAAACTATATTGCTCTTCGTTATTACTATTCCTTTTGTCTCATATCCCTGTCTACTGTCTCTATTTTGCATTTCTTCTACTTTCTTCTCTTGCTTTGTGTACCATATGGAGTATGGCGACTTGAACTATTTTCTCTTTGAAGGTTTTCAAGCTCTCCCTAAACAATGGCAGTTTTTCAGAGTTTTCAGTCTGTCCTTACTCAGAGCGCTGTATGCTGTAGTTTATATCTCCTAGGCACAATCTAAGAACAACTTCTTCTGTCAAAAACTACAGCATCATCAATATCAGTATTTTTCATACTGTTGTAGCGGTAAATAATTCCCAAAAATTATTGACCACAGCAATCATCACTCAACATTGGATGCTGACCCTCACTGTTTAAGTCGATTTGTTTAGCTGAGGGCTTCCGGTCAAGCATCCCCGCCATTTGGTACTCCGTCGTGTCACGTGCGTGCACGATTACCAGCTAGCTAAGCATTCATTTCTACCCGCGATTTGGTCCCGAAATGTACTACGTACTTTGGACGACAAAATCTGGTCTTTTGCTTTATCTTTGGTACTCGAAGAACGAACACTATAGAAGTTGTTGGTGTAAGATCTTGCGTTAGTATAATCCGTACAACTCGCGAACGTCGATACCATCAGCCTCTAAACTGGTGAGCCCAACCTCGAACTTCATCTTCAATTCGTACGCAGATAAACTCGGTGAGTTCGTCCCTTTTTGTGTTTGTTCTTGTACTCCTTTGTAATCGGCAAACATTTCGTCATGACTGATCCTAGCCCCAAGGTTATTCGTATACGCTCAACCGCCAAAACAATTCAGCTCGTACCATATTGGCCAGATAATGCTGAAACGTGGTTTCAGATAGCCGAGTCTGATTTTTGTGAACATGGCATAACCGATCAACGTTCACAGTTCCTTGCAGTTATTCACGCTCTACCACGGGAATCTAGCAGGTGCGTAACTCTGCAGATGTCGGGTCCAGAGGTAAGTAACTCCTACGAGTTGCTCAAAGCAACCCTCCTCAAGAGAAACGTTCTCACGGATCGACAACGTCTGGATGAGTTATTTCGTAACATCGAGTTAGGGGATCAGTCAGCCGTGAGCATGCTGGCAAGAATGAAAGAGATTATTGGCCAAAGTCAGTTCGACGAAGGACTGTTCAGAGAACTATTTTTATCCAAACTGCCACAGTCAGTTCAGACTGTACTTGTGACACTTCAGGGTGTTCTCATGGATGACTTAGCTGTCTCTGCAGATAGAATTCTAGAGATAACTAAACGGCCAGTTACTGCAGTATACTCAGTTACCGAACAGACTTCGAGTAAGGATTCTGCAATGATAGAGTTATGCAACTCCATCCAGCAGATGCTTAGGTCAAACAAGCCTAGCAATTCCTCCTAACGTCGTTCTAAATCTCCTCAACGGCAAAACGCACGTGGACGATCTAAGTCCAACACACGTTCTCTCAAAAATCCTGTCACAACACCTATGGCCAAGAAGCGAAATGTTGTCGAAAACCTTGTGATTTCGGCAAAGCCTCCAAGTCTGTGGTAAACTATCCCGCCGGCACGCGTTAGCTGCAACCGTCGCCGGTGGCACTAGCCGCTTACTTTACACCCGTGATGTAATGAGCCACACTAGTTATTTAGTTGACACAGGCACCGAAGTCAGCGTCCTTCCTGCTACAGCAGCAGATCGACAGAAGGATCCTAACTTCAACCTACAGGCTGCAAATGGAAAACCAATTGCAACCTATGGTCGGAAATACGTCTATCTGAACGTAGGTTTACGCAAACCTATTCAGTGGATTTTCCTTCTCGCCGACGTCACAATGCCCATCATCGGCACGGACCTACTTAATCATCATGATTCGTTCGTAGACGTCCGCCGTAAACGACTGATTGACAACACTACTAATCTGTCTATCAGAGGCATAACTTATGTAGGCCCCAGCTTGTCAATCGTTAAGATGAAAGCAATCCTCGATCCAACTTTTCAACCGATTGTTGACTAATATCCGGAACTCAATTGCCCATCTAACGATCTCCCGTGTATAACCAGCAATGTTGTGCACCACATCATAACCTCAGAACAGCCCGTGACATCTAAAGCACGACGACTGGCCCCTGACAAACTGAGAATTGCTAGAAATGAATTCGATCATATGCTCACCCTTGGCATCATTCGGCCATCGAATAGTCCATGGGCATCCCCATTGCATATGGTACCGAAAAAGGATAGTAACGATTAGCAACTCACTGGTGATTACCGGCGAGTGAACGCCAAAACAACCCCTGATTGCTACCCTTTGCCTCACATACACGACTTGACGGCAACGTTATCTGGAGCATCTATATTCTCAAAAATCGACTTGGTTAAAGCGTATAACCAAATCCCGATGGCAACGGAAGATATTCCGAAAACGGCTATCATCACGCCTTTCGGACTTTTCGAATTCCTACGTATGCCATTCGGCCTCCGGAATCCGACCCAAACATTTCAACGCTTCATCGATGAAGTATTTCGCGGTCTCGACTTTCTATACGCATACTTAGACGACCGCCTTATTGCCAGTCCAGATAAGGAAACTCACCTTAGACACTTGGACTTGGCATTTGAAAGGTTACGCCAACATGGTGTTACCATCAATATCCAAAAGTGTCAAATAGGCGTTGACTCACTCGATTTTCTGGGTCACACTATTGACTGTCAGGGCATTCGCCCACTGGCTACTAAAGTCGAAGCGATACTGAAATTTCCGGAGCCAAAGACAGTGAAAAGTCTGCGCACTTTTAACGCATAATCCCAAGAATCGTTGTTGTTTGTATTGCTAACAGTTCACACTTTATTGAACTTACACAACCCTTAATATACTTTATTGAGGAAACATTGACTAGGACTTCTGAGGAAGTTATGTGTGAATGCATATATCTCATGAATCCTACAGAATGCATTCTATTCACTTGTTACTTAAACCAAACTATTAGGAGATTCACATAGTCAGGAGGGCTATGACACAAGGCTCATTCCCGCAGTTGTCCTTACTTTATTTTAGTTTCACCCTACATGTGTGAGTGCGATTGTTCGTAATTGGCTTTAGTTACTTACCACGGAAGATTCTCGCCAACTTAGAGGCATCCGACTAAATTGTACTCCTAGTTTGTGGGACACGGCCATTGAGGTTGGAAGATATAAAAAGGCTACCTATGTTTGATTACAGGTGCTTGTGCTCTGTCTCTTATGTTAAGTGGTATAACTTGGTGAGTAATATTCAGGTTGGACATCGAGTGTTAGGTAGGAAGCGTGATTCAGCAGATGAGGTAGTTAAGCTTAATCGATTTAGCTAGGACACCTAGTGAACATGCCGGGCCATCGCCTTCCTCGACATGCAGTGTTAACTGACATATGATTAGGTTGAAAATGAGTTAGAGTTGGTGTAAATGAAACCTAGCATTAGTTCACGAAATCGTTGACGGCTAGCTTGAACCACTGCCATGTACGCATAACTCAAAGTCGTTGTCAATGGCACAGACACTTTCAATCTTTGTTATCTCCCATGTCCATTCAACCCTCATGTTTATCCTGGATACTAGTCTTTCCCTCTCACATTTCTGCTCATTAGGGTCCCGCTTAATTTATTCTTTTCTCTGCCTTCGCGTGCCACGTGAAATGTGGCAACTCAAACTGCTTCGCTTTCGAGCCAAATTCTATGCTGACAATCAATCACTTGATGTTTATCTCTGCAGCTGACTGGTTTCATAACCCGCATCGGTGTTAATTGGTTTAAACACTTATTATTGGCGTTTCCTAAGTGCTTCCATAGGCATTTTCGCAATCGCTTAAATTGTCCAGATAAAGCGCACCGAGGAATAAACTGTGAACCATAAGTCAGGAAGACAAACAAAGGAAATGGTGGGACAGAAGTTAATGGGATGAGTGACATTTTGTTATCCCTGCAGTACGCTTGTCTGAAATACCTATATTATGTGTTAGCTGTCTCAAAATGATTTCATTTTTGTCTTCCTCAATGCAGGTTGTCAGTCTTTGAAGACATTCCGTAAGATGTCGTCGTACACAGTGTCTTCAAGCAGCCTTTCAATATGTCTGCTTCGCGAGAAGTTGTCGGTACGAAGCCTTGAAATTGTTTACATTGAATTGCACTTCAGTTATTGTGCTGACGCGATGAAATACAGGACTTGTACGTGTTGTTGTGATATGTGCTTGTAGTAAAATTCACTGTTTAATAAATACAATGCTTATGATTACAATTCGTCCGTATCTTTTCATTGCGTTGATGAGTGCGTATATATAAGAAAAGAGTTGACTTCGTTGTATTATATTTCGAAAGTACTTTCACTAAGCACCGATACTTCTGTCTAGTACGAGGTACTACTAGTGGTCCATGAATTACTTTTTACCGCATTTACAAATATCTATCAGTCTGTATTCATATGGAGTAGCGAAAAAGAAGGCGCATGCAGTTCAGATGTAAAGGTGTGTTTACAGTTACTGACACAGTATATATGAACATGTTTTGCTGTCAAACAAGCAAGTTCTTGAAGTAATGTAGGGTCAGCGCAGTAATTTAAAATAGTGTTCATCACTGCATACATCT